TTACGAGGGTTAGTAACCCTCGTGAGGGTAGCCCTCGTGAAGGTAACCCTTTTGAGGGTTACGAGGGTTAGTAACCCTCGTGAGGGTAACCTTCACGAGGGTTACCCTCACGAGGGTCACGAGGGTTATGAGAGTTACCCTCACGAGGGTTACTTACCCTCGTAACCCTCACGAGGGTTACGAGGGTTAGTAACCCTCGTGAGGGTAACCTTCACGAGGGTTACCCTCACGAGGGTCACGAGGGTTATGAGAGTTACCCTCACGAGGGTCACGAGAGTTACCTTCACGAGGGTCATGAGAGTTACCCTCACGAGGGTCACGAGAGTTGCCCTCACAAGGGTTACTAGGGTTACCCTCACGAGGGTCACGATGTTACCCAGGTCAAGTGACCCCCCCTGGGGTCACGTGACCTGGGGATACCCCCCGAGGTCACGTGACCCCCCGTTGACGTCATAGCCACTGATGACGTCATCAGTGACGTCACTGATGACGTCACCGGCATCCGCATCGTCATCGTCATCATCGCTGATGACGTCATCAGTGACGTCACTGATGACGTCACCGGCATCCGCATCGTCATCATCATCACTGATGGCGTCATCAGTGACGCTACTGATGACGTCATCGGTATCGTCACGTGACCCCCCGACGTCACGTGACGCCCCAAGGTCACGTGACTCCCACAAGGTCACGTGACCCCCAAGGTCACGTGACCCCCCGCCCCCCGAGGTCACTTGACCCCCCCCCCCAGTACCCTTCCCTCCTCCTCCTCAAGAGCTGCGCTCTAATTCGGCGTTACAGGGAGTTGTAAACGGCTTTCATTTTTTTTCTGTCAAAATGTTTCGTCGGTGCGTTTTATGCAACGCTTCGACTTATGTGTTTTCTTCTTTTCTGTGTAAAATTTCACATAAAGAATAACATCGTGAAGTTTGGGGGATGCTTCTCAATTAAAAAAAAATGATACATACAATAATTTTTTGATGTAGTTGCTAAAACTGAATCCACTTGAACTGGAGCACAATTCTTTTACATCTTTTTAAAAATGAAAGGTGTTACAAGCAGCAGCACGCGATCGGACACACACACACACACACACACATATATATATATATATATATATATGTGTGTGTGTGTGTGTGCGTGTGTGCGTGTGTGTGTCCAATTCTCCGGGACGAAGTTTGTACTCTTACAGATGTAAATAGTTAAAGCGCTTGTATACTCCTCCCAAAAGCTTGAAGCAACATAGTTGACGTCTGATGTACAAAAGCAGGCAACCACGGTGGCCGTTTGTTTTTCCACCGCAGTAGCGCACTCCACGGATATCCTGACTGGTAGACACGTTTTCCTCTTTATATTACATTCGTTCCTCATGAATTACAGATTTCTTTCTTGCCTTGAGATTTACCTCCCTGCTCTCAAACTATAACGCCCAGCTTTATTTCCGAGCACGAAACTCATTGAATCATTTTCTGGAAAACGCTGAACCTGCGAAATATACTTGATACCCCGAATCACATAAAACCAAAACGAATTCAAAATGAAAAAAAAAAGAACGCGGCAAAAGTGCTTCACCGCACCGGTATAATGTTTGGTTCATGTATTCGATCGACTGGCAGGTGTTTGCCTTTCATGAATATCAATTAACATGGAAGCATTTCAATATTATTGACATTCATACTGTTTCAACAGAACGATTGTAGTAGCATCATTAAAAATCTGCATCTAAGAGTTTTCTCATACACAGGGTCATAGTAGAACGACATGAAGAGAAAAAGGCACCAAATTTAGAATGCACAGTTTTATTTCAAGACTTCTAAGTTCCTTGTAGTTGTGTCCGGAGAGCCCAGTTTCCAGATGCAGCCATCGAGAGCTTAGAGCTTCCCGTCTGAAAGTAGATATTAGTAATCAATTTGCGACATATTTAACATCAAAATAAATCTATCAACACCTCCTAGACGACGAGGGCATTACTTATAGTATACTAAAATAAAAATAGGTGCCTTCGGCTGAGAATTGTGCTCTGACCTCTTTAACCTATTGACCATTTGAACATAACCAAACAGTGACGCGATCGTTTCTGTACAATCTGTATTTCGTTCCGGTCTCCGGTATGTGATGTAGAATATAATGCGCTGCGGCATGGTTGTCTACATGGTAATTCAGTCCCCTTGAATCCGTATACTTTGTTACATGACTGGAGCACTCAGCCTGGGCTCGGGCTCTTTCTGTAGGTTTTTTACCGGTGAGTGTGTATACCGCATTTACACAAATTAAAAATAAGATGCCCCCATGGCGGGGGTACTATGCAAATGATAAATTAGGGAATGCAACAGTACCGAAGGGAATAGTATTTGCTGTTGCGTTTAACATTAACACCGAGCAATTTTACATTTCATTGATACATTTTAGAAGACTCTAAAATATCGGCGTTAAAATATAGCTCATATTCGTAGAGCTCAGCGCTTTCTGTTTGAAATATGTGCTTCATTTGAGCTTTGCAGTTTCAAGGTTAACGATAACTGTGAAAGAATCAGTAGGTATACGTAAGCATGACTCAAAGTTACTCCAAAACTTTGATGGCGTATTGAACTCTCCAAGACCTGCTGCTTTGTGTTTTGAGGCGTTCAGATGCATTAGATCTCACATTTCTAGTCAGAGAGTTTGAGCCTGGCATTCAATAAAGACCAAAAAATTTGGTATCCGAACGTCGTTATAGCCTCGTCGAATCTAGAAGGACGTGCTAGTATTTTAGTTTGCTATATTATTTAGTGATGATGGGTAAATTTACCGGCGGAATCGTAGTTTGCAGACCCTTAAAATCAGAGAACAAGTTTACCTAAATTTGCATAAATGTCACAAGAAGAGCCGTTTGTTGTCCTCTTGCATTGTCATCAATGGCCCACATGGCGGTTATAGTCATTTACAGTTTGTGAAATACAGAACATAGCAAGGTCAGAGCTATTTATCACCGTTCAGAAGCCAATGAAATAGCGGCAGTAAGCGATAAAAGCGGCGAAAGAGGAATCACGGAGCCTGATTCGCGTAGATGTAGGATGCGCCCTTCGTTTCCTAAGCTGTCAAACACTATGGAATCGCTGAAGCATTTTTGTTAAGCACTATACCGTAGCCACATTTAATAAAAAAACATTTACTTATATGCTGATTACTATATAAAAATGAAATATGATAATCTGAGTAGTACTGTTGAATATCTGGGACGTGGCCCAGTATAATCTTGCAATTAACCTCGCGATTACCTCCCAACTTGGGGTTTCTCATCGAGATTGTCTTATGACGTGAAGCAACTAGACATATTACTTTCTTATTTTAAAACTACTCTATGAACATACATCTTGAAATCACCAGAAAGCATAACGACTTAACACATTTTGCGTTGAGTCACAGACAACTATTGGCGATTAGCCAGGAGTTGATAAGTTAATTTAAACTTTCAACATATTTTGAAGCACTAGGAGTGTTTTATTTATTAGCACACGTGTACACTAGTACAGGAATTGTACACCGGCTTTGGGTTGGTGCAAGTTTTGTTGGTGATTTATTATCACCGTGCGCCCAAACAATATGCACGCGTTTGAAAGCTGTTGGGTAAAGGAAAGTGTCTATTTGAATGCGCCCAAAGCAAACTCTAAATCAGCGGAAACAGCAATACTAAATTCATAATATCCCAGGAAGATATTTCCATTACGTACATTTATATTTGAACGACTGCTTTTTACAGGTGATTAAATAGATTATATTGGCGATGCTTTGTTTTTTTAGATTTACTACTTGACTAAGCGTTGCATTTCAAAGGTATGACAGTGAAACGGACAGTAGCTACGGACCTTTCACTCAAACTTACTTGCTCATTTGAGTTTACAGGCAACAGAATACTAGTTATATCCAGGGTATCTCACCATTGGCTAAGAATACTTAAAACATAGGCACCTAAAATAATGAAATGCGCTCTTCTGAATTACGCCATCTACCTCGGTGGACGTCGGGTAGAAAGTGTAAACTGATAATGACAGATATTTACCTAAAATTTACTAATTACCCTTGAACGCATGAGCTGGCATATTCTAACTTGAAGTGGAATGCCCGTGAAGAAATTATTCCATAAAAGTTGTTAAATTCAGATAGATATATTCTGCTCCGTGCGGTTTTCTCAAGAGCATAGGTTCTCTAGAGTCCGTCATACCCAAACTAAGTGGCAGAAGGCGCCGAAAGGTTACTGCCTGAGGAAACAGCAGAGTATGGCTCACTTTTTCTACGGCCACGCGATCCTGATCGGCTCGCCTTGACTAACTAGATGGGACAACTGCGATAGCTGATGTTACATCCGTGTAGAACCTGCGCCACTTTCTTTTAGCATGTAGTTTCAGCATCATGTCTCCGCAGGGCATTAACATGCCAGAAAATAGCACTCAACAAAATTTAGTTGCGGCATATTTTACCCACGGGCAACAGATCTCTTATTTGAATACACTAGCTAAGGAAAATGTTCTACAAGTTGGTAATTATAGTTTAGGTATTTTATTTGATAATTATCAATGTGCACTGGTAGCTTAACGTCTGCTGCGCCTAAATACATATTTCAGTCGCTAGTGAAACATTCAGTATATCCTTGAATCTGGGACATTCGCAGGCGGGATTTTTGTAGTACACTTCAAAATGTTTCAGATTGAATTACAAAGTTGATCTCCTCACTAGACGCTGAATTACTAAGCAGCGTTTCTGGATCTCGTAGGTCTTGTTAGTGTTTTGTGTCCCCTCACTGTTTCGCAATGTTGGTTAAGAATTCCACTCTTCTAGTGTGACAGTTGTGACCAAAACACACGAACAAGGGCGCGTAATAACATCAATCTGCCTAAATATGGTGTCACAATTTGCGGAGTCGTCTGATGTTTGGTCGCGAATAGCAGGCATGACGGCTAATTTTACAAATAAGGTTGTGCTTAGAGGTAGACATCATTTGTTTACTATAGCTTACCGAACATTTATCCGGTCTTGGAATGTTTTCCTGCGGGAACACACAAAGGCCCAAATGTCTCAATCAATACAACACCACGTTTGTTGTATTAAAAAAAAAACATTATTTCAAACTTTTAATAGTGATAACAGAAATATTCAGAAATATTGATGAGGTTGCTCGTCACAGTGCCCTCCTTGACTTCAATAAACCAGTCGGCTCATATTTGTATAACGAATAGATTTTAATATATATATATCAGTTCAAATGAGAAGAAACCACAATACCATGCTTGTTTTTAACGAGGGGTGAGAGTCGCTTTATTCCAAAAGTCAGTTTTAATTTGTTTTGTACACTTTGCTGGCATTAAAGCAGTAGGCACGGTCAATTCATTGGCTCCATAGAGGAGATACACACCTTAAGTTGGTTTTACTTTTCTTTAGTTGGTTTATTATTAACTTTGCGAGTCACAAATACACTAATTAAATAAGAGTGATATAAATTGAAGTTGATCATTAAAGGGGTATTCACACGAGGGAGAAATCCCGGGGATTTCTCCCCGGCACGCGCTTATCACGAGATGAAAACGCGAGGCTTTTGCACATGGCAAAGCCTGACGTTTTCGTCGTGGGATGCGCGTGCCGGGGAGAAATCCCCGGGATTTCTCCCTCGTGTGAACACCCCTTAAGGTGCGTTGAGAACAAAAAAACAAGCAACCGAATATAGCACTAGTAAAAAGCGAAAAATATATAGAGCGGTTATCGTCAACCTTATATATAGTAACACTTGATTGATACGCTTCAATCATTTAATGGTACCGGCGTTAAAATAATGCTTACATTTGTAAAGATTTAGTGCTATACTCTAACTTATGGCATACCAAGGGTGTATAAATGTTAAAGGCAGGGTGTTACGGAGCTATGACCCAAGCGCGCTACCGCATTTCGTTGGTTTAATAAATTTAACATACTATGGTGTGCTTGCACCTGGGGCATCAAAAGGCAGAAAATTTAACATTGCGCTTAAACATGTTTCCACCTGATGTGCATCGTTGACCGAAGAATTATACGTTCGATGAATAGCGCAGCCTATTTGACAGTGGTGTCTTGCTTTCAAATACTTTTTTGGTATGCTAGTCAAATGTCTCCCGTTGTCAGTATCATTGTAGTGACCAATATCCAAAATCTCTAAAGGAGTTTGTCATCGCTTGGTATAAACATGAAGTTACGAATTGTTGGGTTCGTAATGCACGGTCATGAAGTGGCGGCGTTAATATCTACGGGTGCACACACACATTAAAATCAATATTTAACCTCACATATTTTGCTCATATAAGGCTCGTAATTTACGCATTTGGAGTAAAGACCCTTATGGAAATCTTATATCTGGGCCATATCTGGCCATATCAAACACTATATGACTATATACGGCCTATATACGGCCTTATCTGGCATATATACAGACTTATCTGGCATATATACAGCCTGATATGGCGTATATACAGACTTATCTGGAGTATATACAGACGTATCTGGCGACCGGTTTTCAATTCATTAAAAAGTTAAAAAAAAGTAAAAAAAAAATATTTTTGTTACCAAACTCTGAATGACTCATTGTTGGCGAGCTAATTATCAGCACAAGTAATCCCAAACTTCAGCTTTGACAAGCTTAAGTTTGAGATTATTTGTGCTAGTTTTCACGAGGATTTCTATGTAGCTTAATTATTTCAAAGTGTCAACATTACGCCCGAATAGATGATTTGCTAAATCCCCAAGCGCCTCGGCCCGTACTCGAGGAATCATGGGGACGGTGCTTCTTCAGCTGCCTAGTGATCGAAAATTTCGAGCAATTCTATGGTTACACAGATTTGAGTGTAATTCGGAGTCACCCTGAACACGTGCCGTACAGAAAACAAGTACCTGCCATACCACTTTTAAAATGGCCCGTCAATGTCAGTACTGTGCATTCCGTTCAACCTTCAACCTGGACGAGCTGCAGACATATCTCTTACATTATTATCATTTTCGTACAGCTTCAAAGACGCTGATATTAAGTTAGAAACGCTAAAAATGTCATAAACAGCTCCGCTGAATCCGAGCTAAATCCCGGTTTTGTTTGTTGTGATTTCTCGGTTTTAAGTAATTCCTGATAAAACGACAATCACGAGAATGATAATATGGGAAGAGATTTCGGCGGTTCAGCGTGGCTGAAGTTTGGACAGAATGCACAGTATCATAAACACTGCCATTGACGAGAAAATTTAAAAGTGATATGACAGGTACTTGAGCCCTATGGGACGCTTGTTCAGGGTGACTACGAATTACACTCCAAAGTGTGTAACCATGGAATCGGTCGAAACTAGCGATCACTACGGAGCTGATGGATCACCGTTTCCATAACTCCTCGCGTGCGGGCCTGGGCACTTGGGAGAATTGTAGACAATAAAAAGATATAAAGCGCAGATTTCAGGCTTATGTCTTCTCGACATGCCTGGCCAGATCTAGAATTTCCTTACTTAGCCAGATCTGGGATTTCCATAACTGGCCAGGGGTATCAGGCTATATCTGGCATTATGAGGCTATATCTGGCAGATATACCATATCAGGTTATATGTGGCCAATTTTTGATATGGCTATATCTGAAAACTTCAGATCTGGCCAGATATAAATTTTTCGTAAGAGGACACCATCCGCTTAGCTGAAGACAACGTATATGCTGCTGAGGTGGCCAGTTTGGAATCGCAATTAATGTTTTGGTGATGATTCAACTTGAGGAGGCTTGTCAATATGGCGCTTTTTGGATTTAATAAAGAAGTACATTACCATAATTATTCCGTAATTATTTAACGAATATGTAAATGTTTTTTGTTTTTTTACAAAAATAGGCCAATTAACGAATTCAGTGTCAGGTGTGAAATAAACTTTAATAAGGTCAAAGTGTTTGTAGGTATAAAATTTTGACTGATATCTACTTTAGTTTGAGAAGTATGCTTTAACGATGATGACAGTGAGTATAAAAAGTGTATGCGAATATAGAAATTTAAGCTCTAATCAAATTCAAGTCGAAAAGTGCCGAATAATGGCCCAAAGCTCGAATATCGAATCGAATACAAATACTAAAACGTTTACTCGCAATATTCGCAAAACTGAGCAAGAAAGTCGAGTAGATGAGACGAAACACATCGTGTTTATTCTAGGGAACGAAGAGAAGCCAACGCAAATAAAAGTGTCGGTCTTGACCACGCTTCAACGACTAGGCTTGAAACAAATAGCTGACGAAAGCATCCACCGATTCACGTGTGAATGCACAGCGTGTCGGATAAATGAACGTATATGGCCGATCTGTTAGAATTGGGTGACGGCTTGCATCACCCACAGCCATGGCACTTAGCTGGACGCTGTAGTAACCGACGACGACTTAGCTGAGAAGGGTGGCCGATGGTGTAGACGTAACAACCCAGAATAACTGACGGTGCACAGATCTGACTCCAGGTATCTCAAGATTCTTAAGTTTAAAAGGCCCTGTGAGTGGTTTTCGAGTTTTCGTCGAACGCATCTAAGATGCTGGGTGTATGACTGACTCGTTCGAGAAACGCTAAAAATGAACAATGTTTTTTTTTTCTGTTTTTTTTCTTTTAAGTTGTTTGTTTGTCAAAACCTGATTGCAGGCTTGATTTAAATCCAACAAAGCACTGTGTGGACTATTTCATCATATGAGCAGCATTCTGATTAAGCCCACAATTTGCGCCATCGGTACCACTGTTCGGTGAATCAAATTAATAATGCGAAAGCATTAACTGTCCCATGGAGCGAGCCAACGTCATCATCCGCGCCAAACGGCAGTTAAATTCCCGAAGCCGCGATCTGAGGCATCGAAGCTTTGAAACCACGCTGAAAACGACGCAAAACGGCACTGATATCAAGCCACCACGCGTCAGTTTTAACTAGAGCCTCCCCATGGCGCTGCGTGTCCGCGAGTCAGTGGCTCCAGCGCTCCACGCATACGGTCAGCGTGGAAAGGAGAGCGCGTGCTCTCGACCGTACGCCGCAGACTAAATAAGGAAGCGGAAGAACAGCATGCATGCTTTCGCATTTACAACTCATAAGAAATGCACAGGTGTCCCTCGAGGTTCTTGAAGCGCAGCTCTTAGGCGCCCGTTTCTGGATTGAGCGGTGTCGCCGTCGGCGTCGCCGTCAGCCTAACCGCGCGGTGCATTATGGGTAAATTTCCCCGCTAAATCCAGCGAAAAAATTTCCCCGCTCAATCTAGCGGAAAAAATTTTCCGGCTAAATCTAGCGGGAAAATTTTTCCGCTAAACCTAGCGGGGAAAGTTTGGTCACGTGACCGGGGGGGTCACGTGACCCCCTCCCGAGGTCACGTGACCTCGGAGGGGGGCACGTGACTCCCCCCGCGTGACCCCACCAATGTCGAGTGCCCTCGGGGGCGGTGGGGGGTCACTTGACCCTTTCCCCTATGTCACGTGACCCCCCCCCCCCCGAGAACACGTGGTCCTCAGTACCCTTCCCTCCTCCTCAAGAGCTGCGCTCCAATTCGGCGTTACAGGGAGTTGTAAACGGCTTTCACTTTTAGAGCGCAGCTCTTAGGCGCCCGTTTCCGGCTTGAGCGGCGTCGCCGTCGCCGTCGCCGTCGGCGTCGCCGTCGGCGTCACCGTCGGCGTAACCGCGCGGTGCATTATGGGTAAATTTCCCCGCCTAGCGGAAATCTAGCGGAAAAATTTCCCCGCTAAATCTAGCGGAAAAATTTCCCCGCTAAATCTAGCGGAAAACATTTCCCCGCTAAATCTAGCGGAAAAATTTCCCCGCTAAATCTAGCGGAAAAATTTTCCCGCTAAATCTAGCGGAAAAATTTACTCGCTAAATCTAGCGGAAAAAATTTCCCCGCTATACCGGAAAAATTTCGCCGCTAAATCTAGCGGAGACATTTCACCGCTAAATCTAGCGGAAAAAATTTCCCCGCTAAATCTAGCGGGAAAATTTCCGTGCTAAATATAGCGGAAAAAATTTCTCCGCTAAATCTAGCGGAAAAATTTCCCTGCTAAATCTAGCGGGAAAATTTCCGTGCTAAATATAGCGGAAAAAATTTCTCCGCTAAATCTAGCGGGAAAATTTCCCCGCTAAATCTAGCGGAAACATTTCACCGCTAAATCTAGCGGAAAAAATTTCCCCGCTAAATCTAGCGGGAAAATTTCCGTGCTATAGCGGAAAAAATTTCTCCGCTAAATCTAGCGGAAAAAAGTTCCCCACTAAACCTAGCGGGGAAATTTTCGTCACGTGACCCTGGGGAGTCACGTGATACCCCGAGGTCACGTGACCTCGTAAGGGGGCACGTGACTCCCCCACGTGACCCCACTAAGGTCATGTGCCCTCGGGGGGGGGGTCACGTGACCCCCCCCCCGAGAACACGTGGCCCTCAGTACCCTTCCCTCCTCCCCCTCAAGAGCTGCGCTCCAATTCGGCATTACAGGGAGTTGTAAACGGCTTTCACTTTTTTTTGGAAACTTAAACACTGGGAATTCGTAAGTAAAATAAAAATAATCGGATAATTATTATTCGATTGAAATTCAAAACTCTAATATTCGAGCACCCTTATTAGGGAGTCGTATTTAATACGTCGCAAACTCAAGCGCAAAAAACAAAGAACTTCCTGTCCATATTTTAATGCCCATTTTGTGAATAAAATGTCTTGTTAAAATACATTATAAAAAGTAAAAATTTGATGAAGATAGAGTAAAAACAGGAGAGCCTCAAGATGTAAATACATTAAATTTAGTGGATTATTTATTCACACATTATAATGGCCTCACACATGCTTTGAAGAGGCTCGCGTTAGGATTGCAATAAAAGTAAGCGTAAGCATGGTCCCTGATTAGGACGGACTCGTATTTTCTGGAGGTTTTCATTTTAGCTTAAAGGTAACTCGCGTTGAAATGAAGATAGTAAGAATAGAGAGGCGTAAAACTCACCGTACGGGCATTCACTCGTGCAGCAATCTTTCTTTTCAAAGTGGTTTACACCATCCGTACAGCTCTCCATACTCTCGCATTTATTAGTATGGTTGCTAAAGTAGTAGATAGTTCTAAGTTTAGCGTCTCCGTTACATAAAGACGTTGGCACAGCGGTTCTGCATTGTTGCTCTGCAGAAGGGTTAGAAAAATATATAAGAAATTCGTGTCCTAATTATATACCGTCACCATGAGAACTATTATAGTTCCAACTGGACAATTTTATAAACAGAGTTGTAAAAACACACAAACACGAGAAACATGCATAATATTTGAATGATCATTTTTAAATAAAGCTACTAAAAATCAACAACCTCGTATTTGAAAAACGCAAAATAACACACAAAGAGAAGTAAATTTTGAGACTCAGGCGTCTCGACCCGGTGGAAGTTGAAGAGAGTGACATCAACCCATACAGAAAGGGATTGGCCATGACGCTACGTGATGTTAATAGGAACTGACAATAAATTAATTTTGATCTGAAATATCTGAACAAATAAAGATAGTGCAAAACAGTGCTTCCTGAGCATAATAATAATAAAAAACACATTTTCAGGAAAGATGACATGAAACTGCTAGCTATTAGCTCTTTCTCGCGTGAGTAAAAATGCAGTGGCGCTAGTGTGCAAATAGTCCATAACAGCTTCCAGTTCTGAACTAGCCGGTGGGTTTCTCCGTATTTGCGCAATCATGTCTACGTGCTATCTACTCAAAATGGCCACTTATAACCCTTTCGTACTTAATTAACTCTTGTGATAAGAAAATGATGAGGAGGCAATTAGGAGTAATACGAGAACCGGAAATGTGCCAGGGCTACCCAATAGATGGCGTCACTGTGCTCGTTGCCAAACAAAAAAGGGCGAAGAAATTCACAAATATCTTGAAGCGTTCTGCCTGAGACTCACCTAGCAATCATTGAACGTACTTTGTTGTTTGTTGTGTTCGCCAACGTCCCGGAAATCGTAATGTGCCGGAAAGCCAGAGACGGCGCAGCGGTGTTTCTTGTTATACTTTGTTTTTATTTTCCGGACGGTGACATTCAGCCATAATCATATCCGAGTTTTTTTTTTTGTAATTTGTTTAAGCAGAAGTGGTACAACGTAAACTTAGCGGGACCACGTCATTAGTAATAACTGATGGCGAGGGTTTTTAGTGAAATATTGTCTGTTTGTTTACTGACTGTGGAGAAGCTACAAATAGATCAGAATTTATGACTGGCAAATACTAAACGCTATGACAGTTACGCAATCAAGGCAAATGCACACACAGTAATAACCTGCTAACCTAAAACCTAATAGTTGGATATTAACAAAATGGTATTGTCTACCAGAAGACATGACAAGTCTCTGGTTTTAAGTTGAACCAAACTTGCAAAGAAAAACGAACCCTTATTTTGTTCAACTTTTTATTAGTGTTCTTTAATGTTTCTGCAAAAATAGAGCCAATATAAGCGAACTCAATTCAAACTGCAATATTTCATGTATAAACACATCAGTCAGAGCTAGCCCTCGGTTATAGTAAAAACTTATTTGGTGTGCTTATGTAGAATATAAAAAATAATAATAATTGGAGCGGGACATTATATTAGTGCTTTTTATTTTTGTAGAATTAGGCTGAATTCGTTGTTTTTAGTAAGTCAAATTACAAAACAATAGGAGCTGCGTCATAGTCTTAGAAATATGATGTAAACGGTGAGTGTAGAAATACACCTAATGACATAGAAAACAAAGTGTAACGTCGTGAGAAACATGGACTTACCAGTCAGCCTCCCCACGGAGTACACCGCACCAGCAATGAAGCAAATGGCTACGAGGGTTGCCTTCATCTTGGACGCTAGATGTCGACTATGGTATTACATATTTTTGTACGGATTTATATATAGTGCTCCACGAGCATATGCATTTTTCTTCTTATTGTATTTTATATTATTGACGCAAATGCGATTCCGCCTATGCGCATTGTTCTCTGAAACTGTCGGGGAACACGTGGAAACAAATAATGTATTTTTCACCTCAAGGTATGTCATGGACAATTGCTTTAGCGTTTGTCCTTTTCAGATTGTTTGCGGTAAACCCAGAGGACGTTGCACTTTTGTTTTTCTGCAGGTTTCTATTTGAGAGAAAGTAAAGATAGGGTCATTCGAAGCAGAAAGAGTAAACAAGGTATATGAGAATATTGGCGTCAAGGTCCTCTCTAGTATTAATTTTTTAGTTTTTAAAAGTCCATAATAAGTATTTCAATGATTTCTAGGGATTAAGTTTTTTTTAAATAGAGAAATTAAGTGGACTTCATCTAATTAACGTTTTCCCCATACATGCGGCATGAAACAGCAACCGCAGAATATGCGTTGTATTGCTGAAAATAGATGGTTGGATGAATAAATACAACTTAACCCTTTTAATCGTGGCGTGGTTTACGCTTCCGACCAACTGTGAAAAAAAAATTCTATACTCTGTTTTATGTGAACTTGGTCAAACTGTGGAGGCTTCGGCCTTCGGGAACAAATAAGAGCATTGGAGCAGAACACGTGACAATCCTCCATGGTCGAGGCCATGGAGGCATCGGTACCGCCATAGCAGCAGTGCCGTCCGCAACAAGAGTGGTTCTAGGGTTCTTTTTCTTTTAACGGGAATTGAACTCGCGCGATTTCATTACTATGGACACTGCACTACACGACATAGAAGAAAGACGAAGATGTGTTGTATCGGGTAGAACACTGTAGTATCGGGATATACCAGCACGAGGTGCATGTACATTGACTAGTAGGAACGCCTAGTTACATCAAGATACATCTGGCCCCGGATCAACAGAGGCATCTGTATGTGGGCGAAGACTTGCTGCAAATGCCAGCGCTCAAAGGTGTTTCGACGCACAAAGACACCACTTCACCCATTTCGACCGCCGGATGCCAGATTGGATCATGTACATATAGGTGATTTCATCTCAATTCAAACATCAATTTGAGGTCGAATTTTTAATTAAAAAAAAATGCTCTCGGGCAATTCCTAGAATAAAAGAAGACGCAAACGGCAGTTTCGTCAGATTTTGTGTTCTCAATTTATGGACCGTTGAAGCGGCCAAGGTGGAACTGACGTTTTACTAGCTTATCGGGGGTGCCATATTTCACTCCATCCGTTTTTCCTACTTTTTACTCTACGTCAGTAGAACTTTCTTGGAACACCCTCGAGATATGCTTTTTTATTCTAATTGAGCATCTAGGTCATAAGATTCTTAATGTTTTTTCTGTTGTAATTGTCAAACCGCCTCACTGCGACGATATTTGACGACGTTCAGGAAGCTGCGCTGTGTGACCTATTCAACAAAGTTTATGATCTTTGTATCACCGTGAAGCTCCACTGAAGCCTTTTTTCGAGTATAATTTGAGTATTTTGCGATAAATATATAATGCGCTACATGTGCCTGAAATACGAATATTTCGAGAAACTAGCCAGCTTGGAGTCGATTTTCTAAAAAAAAAAAACACCTTTTATTTCTTTTATATTTTATTCACAGTTATGTAATATATAATATAGTAGTCTATCAGTAATTACCAAAAGAAATTGTAATATATTGTTTGTATGGCCGCTATGAAGGCTCAAATCTCGTGCTATGAGCGTTTTGAACGGGGCCTTCACAGGCGCTCTGCTGAGCGGAATTTTGGCCTATGTAAGGTTTTCTATTTATTAGCAGTTACCTCAATATCCAACCATAGACATTAATAAAATTTAGAGTAGTGTACTTACAAAAAGTTACTTCGAAGTCTGTATCCACAAGTGAAGGCACAGCGCTTAGTTCCTCCCAATACGGGGGAATCCAGGTCGTTCGAGAATTCCTCTGGGGCCTTTTGCTTTCGGCTTTGAGTTTGAAATACCGAATTTGATATGTAATTGTCATATTTTTTATGTCAAAGAGATATGAAGTGCATATGTATATGTACGATTTAGTATCTTACGCTTGAGAAGTACGGTTTATTTTGTGCACGTACGGACTCTTTCGTAAAATAGCGAGCATTTCATAGCGTGTAAGCTTAAAATGTGTTAGTCACATGTTTAAGTTTCATTTCTATTTTCAGTAACTCATGCCGGGCTCCTTAGATGTTTTCCTCTTGCCCTAAGTTTGTCCTGGAGTCTAGATGTTACGTATCTTCTCCCCCAATACATAAGGCGAAGCTCACAAAAAAAAAAAAAAAAAACACTTGACATCATAAGATATTTACAAAATAAAACAAGTCGTTTGTGCGGTCGCTTTATAATAATCGCCGCCAGATCGGTATCTGCTTCTCTCGTCTCCCAGGGAGCGATACAACACGACGAGAAGACAGCGAATGGATTCACTGTACTTCCCGCTTGCCCGTCCTTGAGAGCCGGCAGTCCGGGCCTGCCGACCCTGATTGTGGCCCGTCGTTCAGAGATCGGAGTTGGAGTCTGTGTCCAGGCCTCCGGATTGTACTTGCCATGCTAACGATGAGTAGCGACAAAATGGACGCACACGTTTTGATTCGATAGACGTCGATGCCTTAAAATCAAGAAAATCATGGAGGTAGTTGCTGAAAAGCTCGTATTCATCCCACCATATTCTGTCAACCTAACTCGCAGCCGCGCGAGGTGGAGTGGTAAAGGATGAAATAGAGAAGATTCATCTGCTCCACTTTGCCCATTTAATGCAATATTTATGGTCCATAGATTTCATTGTTAAAAAACACAACCTCATCCTTCCTTCTAAAGCGCAACTAGTATGGTTCAAACTTGAAAAAAAATAACAAGAAAAACAGTCGTTTTTGTCGTGACCTCAAAGCAGTATCCTGTTGTCTTCAATGAACCTTGACGAGATATACAGTAAGGCCCTTTCGACAGTGCTTCGCGATCAGAAAGATAACTGTGGTAGAATTTTCTCAAGACCATTGACCCTGTGCTCTGATCAAACTTAATAGACCGATCTCACCAAGCGTTCGGAGCATGCGTGACGCCGCCATAACTTTAGTTCACAGGAGGGAAACGGCAGCGCACGAGAGGGCTCTTGCCATCTCGTACTCTACACGAGCAGAGCTCCAGCCAGGTTGTCGTACGTGCAGAAAGACTAAAGTTCCCTCGATGCATCGTGGCAGCGGTGGCGTAGTCAAACTGGCTGGTGAGGTCGGCCTATCGGTCTATTGCCAAATACCGTTCTTTTTTTTTGCCGGGGAGAGGGGGGGGGGGGGGGGCATGGAACATCAAAAGTCAGTTTATTGGATAAACCTGAATTCACCATAATTATACCGTCGGGTGCTTTTCGGAGTTTTCCCGGTTTATAAGAAAATATGGTTCCCTACATATACCTCATTGATTTCTCTTGCAGTTCTATCGCGTTTTTTTTCCTCCCGAACTGCTGTGTCAGGAAAACATGGAGTACACTCACATCGGTTGCAGTGCTCTGCTAAGTGCCCTGAGGGTGACGGTTTAAGGAGGTTGCATGTTGTTTGGCACGGTCAGTCGTACAACGCCAAATTTGGCCCACATGGGAGCCCCCGCAGGAAAGTGGACATATACATCCCTGGTTTTGCGTTCCATTACGTTGTTTTTGTGCTTGGTCATACAACCAACCATCTCTCCCTCTGTGGCATTGCTTTTTGTGCATTACGCGTAGAGCTTGTAGGGGGTCGAAAAAACTACTGGTACGTCGTAACCTTCTGAAACTTTCTCCAAGTTGTGATAGATCGCGTAAATGTAAAGAAGTACTGCAAGCCCTATTTTTTGGCGTTCACGAGCACGAGCATCACGTGCCTCTATATTTTCTTTTATATCATCCGGAGCCTCTAGTAAGGACTTCTATAGAAAACGCGAATTTACGAGCCGATTACCTTGTGTGAGACAGTTCCTTCCTATCTCACGGGGACATCTCTTTCACAAAGCAGCTCCTAAGCACCGATGAGGCAAAACTCATGTAACTAATACCCCTCTCAGACGGCAGCTAAAATGGCATTTACGCCAAATGACATTCAGTGTAAATGTCATTCAGGCACTGCCACACGGCAACTCAAATGGCATTCAACCGAAGTGCCATTTCAGGCAAACTAAGTTCGTAAAGCGTACTCTCGTCGGCAGCGCTCGGCACCATGTTACGGAATTAAAAAAAAAAAGGTATATATTGCGGAAACAATTTTTAGATCGTTTTAATTACGATAATAATTTGTTTAACGCATATTTTGTACACACTTTACGTTTCTACTTGTTTAACCTACTCACGGCTCCAGTTATCCAGTAGGCCTAATGGCTCTGAACTATCTGGTCCGCTGAAACTGTCGTGTGCTCGCCTCGGTCGGCTGTTGGTTCGTTGGGTCCAGTTGCACTCAACATTTACGCGTTTTTACAATGTCGGAAGGAGCGCCTGCCGGCAAGATAAAGCCACCTGTTAATTATACCACCCGCGGGACGTTGGCAGGAGCACGTCGAATGTCTTCTGTAGCTGACACGGAACGGCGGGTTCTGCATGGGTTCACTACGGTTGATCGAATGCCATTTCATCGGAGCCCGTTTTAGAGAATAGGCACGTTTTATCGAAGCACGGTTTACAGAAAGCAGAGCCTCAGTTTAAAAAAACGCCGTTTATCAAAAAAAAAAAAAATGCTTAAAAAAAAAAAGAAAAAAAAAGGTTTTCTACTTTTTGCCTGTATCACTGGTGCGCGTGTTAAGCCGCCGCGAAGCGCCGGGAGCGCAACAAGGGGGGGGGGGGGGGGGGAAATGTTAACTCACCTGATTTACCCGTACATGCCGCTTCGCGGCGGCCAAATTCGCTACAAGGAGTTTCATCGCCATTTTCTCTAATTTGGGTTTTCCATAAAGGCATTCG